GGGACAGAGAACCTCGCAGTCACTTCTAGCGGTAATTTGGGGTCTGAGGTGTGTCGGTCGGGTCCCAGTTTGCAGCGGGCAGTTGGGGGGGAACTTGGTTGGAAGGGAAGGGGGGGGGGGGGGGGGGGGGGGGGGGGGAGGGGTGAGGGAGGAGGACAGTTGAGGGGTGCGACCAGGGTCTGAGAGACAGAGACGTGAGTGGAGAGGCAGGTGCTATGCGCGGTACGGTACCTCACAGTGCTGGAGACTGACAGGCGACGTGGTTGGCCGGACGGGATCCACCTGGGCGGCCCAATCTGGGTGGTGCCCACAAGGCTGTGCACGTTTGAGGATGGATCTGTCGACCGGCGCCTTTGGCAAGTCACTCAGTACCAGATAGACGCAGTACCTGACAGTTGTGCCTGACTTTGGCACTGGGTTGGGTACCTCTTTCTTGTGCAGCCAGTTCCCAGCTGCAGCGAGTATCGTACCTACCTACGGCGGTAGTTACCTGGCGTTGGGGTTGGGGTTGGGTTGGGGGCGGCCAAGTTGTGCGTGCTTGCTTGTTTGTTCACGTAGCACCGCTCTATGCCCTACTCTCTGCAACGGCGCGCTCCGACTGCCCGTTCTAATGACTGGAATGCGCTGGGCTGCTTTTGCTTTGCTGTGCTGTGCTGTTGCTTTGGCTGCAGCTCTGCGTCTCGGCTTCTGATCCTCTGCTGCTACGGCCGCTTCGCTTCTGTTCTTCGGTTGGTCGTCGTCCTTGTTGTTCAAAGAGGAGCTGTACCGGCCGCGTGTCTGTCTGCGTGGAGCGGCGAGCGAAGCGAGCGAGAAGCGATGCTATGCTGCAAGCCCAGAACCGTAAATCCAAAAATATCCTTTTCTTGTTCTGTCGGGGCCGGCAGGGATCAGGACGCGACAGCTAGGCGAATCGTCGTCGAAGCTATCGTAGCTCTCTCTGCTGTTGCTTTGCACTGCTCTCAATTGTGGGCGTGCGTTACGTGCGTTTGCTTGCCACCTTGGCCCCGACGTCCTGCTGTCGGATGAGGATGCTGCTGCTGCTGCTGCTGCTGCTGCTGGTTGGTTGTGTCCGGTTGGCCAGCCTTCTGGTAGCGCTCGTTATGGCTGCTAAGAGCACAAACGGTTTGATGATGATGTGATGTCCACAACGGGGGTGATGCCAATCAGTGGGATTCGCGAAAAGTAGATGGCGTTTTTGTGCTGATATCCGTGGGAGCACAGGACGGAGGGCGCCAACAGCCACGCAGCCGTGGCGGCCGATTGAACGATACTTCACTTTGGACTGGGGTGCCCGTGTGAAGCAGATACACCCTGGGGCAAGCTTGTGACGGCGCGGTAATCAGCTGTGCCGGTCGGCGGCGGCGTCGGAGGTCGGGGGTCGGGGGGTTAGGTGAGCTCGCTGCTGCTTGACCTACCTAGGTAGCTTGGTGATTTGGTGGTTGGCGTCGCGGGCATGTGGGCTACCTAATAAACACACTTCCACTTTACAATTTCTTAATTACATACTGGCTCCCTGGCGCATGATATCTCGCCCTTCTTTCAGTTTAGACCACGAGAAACGGGCGGAAACAGTCCGGTGCAAGAGGGGCAGAATAGGGGTCCTGTTTCGAACATGAACATATTCAAGATAATGCCATCACTTCCAAGGCGTGGCCGGGTCACACCAGGGTGTGGTGTTGGTACCGAGCACGGGGAAATGGATTCACAGGAGGCGGATCTTTGCTTCCTGTCCTCACGAGAACGGACATCCCGTCCGTACTGTAGAATTGTGCGGCTTGTTGGCCGTAGACTCAGTGATCCAAGCGTCGATCCGCATCCTTATTCGTACAAACCCATTCATTTCATTACTGTTATGTCATGCCTGTACGCTGAGTATATGCGAATATATGACCTAGGTCTATTCCTGTACCGCTTATACAGCTCACCTTGCCGACTTTACCTTAGCCTTGGTAAGGCGCGCCAGGTCCTAGAGTGTTCAAACTGGATCATTTCCATATTACTCTTCTGACAGTCCATGTCTATCCCAGACCGTGGTTGTCTCCCCATCAGCCTGCCTCTGGTTGGTGGTCCGTTCCACGGCCAATGGAATCTCGACTTGCTGGTCGTCCATCCTTCCTACGAGTGAGGGTGTTTCTGCTCACGCAGGCATGTACCTATCTCTGGGGATCTGTTTGATGAGTGCCTAATAACCTAAGGTAAGGTGAGGTATGGTTGGTTGGTGTCCGTAAGTACTCTGTAGGTGCCTGGCCAAGCCAGGGGAAGGTTTCTGGCAATGGTACGAATACCTAGCAACTTGTAACTGAAAGTGTTAGGTTAGGCGTTTTTGCTTCTCCAAGTCTGCCTTGAGGTGGGTTCGTGTTTCCCCCGTCCGTGTCCACCGCCCAGCCAGCGCGCGCTGACTGCTTGACCAGACCCGATAATTTGAAATTACGCTGTTCCTTGCTTGGTCTTGGCATCTGGTTTCCCACCACCTTCCTTCACAGTTCCGTGCCGCAGAGCAGAGCACACGCCGTCGGCACCGCGACCCCGTCCATTCCCTCTCCACCACCCTCTCACCGATGCATGGCTTTCGCATTTTGCCCTGCATTTTCCCATCCTTCCCACCCTCCCCTGCACCAGTGTTGACTTCCCGGCGCTGTTCACTGTTCAATCTTCATCTCTTGGCCTGGCCCGTCATCATTCCGTGCGCGCCGCAATACCGCCAAAATTCCAACCACCTGTCACCGGTCTGTCAGTGTCACAGTCACAGGCCGTCGCGCCGTCTAGACCTCGACGCCCGTAGGTATTGACAGGCCCGGTTCATCCACTTTCCACCTCCAGTGTCCAGTTGATTAGACGACCTGACACAGACGAAAGAGCCCACTTGAAGCTGTGATTCGCGTCAGCATGAGATGAGAGTGGATTGCCAAACGACTGGTCTCATTAAACGCATGACAAGTGTGGTTTGCTCATGGGGCGTCGGACTCTCGATCGAAATGGTAGTCTACGCGCGCAGGAAGAAGATGCTGACACTTTGTCATCGCCATTGCACTCACCAGACATGCCTATTCGCGAGCAAGCGAGGGGGAATAGCGATTTGCAAAGCAACCCCATTCGCCTCCATGTAGCCTTGTGCAAGTCCGGCATATGCATGTTCCTCCCGAATACTGATACAGGTCGCAACGCCAAATTCGAGTCTGTCCTCGTCGAACACATACAGAGTCCGCTGGTACCTACCGAGTTAGGTACCGTAGCTCGGCTTCGGTCACGTCTGCCCAATCAGCCCTGCTTTATCCATCTTATCGTTTGACAGCTGCTGCAAATCGCCGATACTCCCGCCTCGCTAGGCTGAGCCGCCGGTTCACCATCGAGTATCGACAGGCACAAGTCTCACCTTCCCGCGCCCAAGTGCATAGCATTGAGGCGAACATCAGATTCAACATGAAATTCACCCCTCAAATCTACATCAGCGTCACATCTCACCCAGCTTGTTTGGATGCGATCGCCCACCTGAATCATCCGTTATGCCTCCATTGCTGCCAACATTTCGCGGCCCCGGATTTCCAATAACACTTCTCGAAGGAGACCAAATGAGGCGCAATTCGTTTCGAAACAGGGCCCCCCTCTTTGCCAGAATCACGACAACGGCCACCAGCAGCCCTAGAATCGACATCGTCGTTCGCCCATGGTTCCCAACCCCTGAGTGTCTCGCCCAACATCTCCCACGACACACGCCAGACTGCTGATGCTCCTCGACACCTGCATCCCAGCCAGCCAATTACAAAGCTGTTGCACATGTAGCGCTGCAGGACGCGGAATAGCGTCTGACACAGCCACCCAAGCTTCGTGGCCCCCAATATCAGACCTGCCCCGAAATGACATCAAGCATCTGCCATCGAAAAATCCACAACGCGGCAGGAAGAAGCTTATTCGAGAAAAGGTACGAGAGACGTTTCAGGACAACCGACGTCTGTGAACGGCCTTCCTCCGCGGGCTTCTAGATTCTCCACATCGGCGAGGGGTCGGGTTCCATCCCATGCCGGGGCGGGCCTCGAGCCATTTCCCCCGCCTGCTCAAACTCCATTTTTAGAAAACATTCGGGAATACGAACCGGACCGCACGCCTGGGAATGGCATGTGGTTCAAAGACGTCAAGTCAAGCTAGGAAAGACGACGATGACGACGACGACGTGTCTCGCAGACGTGTCTTTCCGGGCATCTCGGCGCAGCAGCATTGGCACTTGCTTTTACTTTTGCCCTCGTGTGGATGGCGTCTCTGGGATTCCATTCTTTTCAGTTCATCAGACCACTCCGAGCGAGACTTTAGGCAGCCATAATCTGCAATAGCGCTGGGTTGGTTCTTCGTCTGATTACATATCGTTCATCCAAAGATGAGGCGGCTTCGTCCACAGGGATCGTGCCCTTGGGTGGCTGTGCTCGTCGATCATTCTGGAGAAGAGCTGAAATCCCCCACGAACACCGAAACATTCGTCGCCCGAATCGTCACACCGACTGATGGCATGCAGCGGCAGGCGCCCGGCACTTTCGTCTTGTCTCGACGTCGTTCCCTTCTCGTCTCTCCCTCGCACAGTAGCTTAGTCTGTATCACAGCAGTGTCCCACGATCTGCCTGGAGATGGATCCACCGGATATCTCGATTCGACCGCCCTTTTCTGGTCCAATCTGACGGCAAGAAGCTAACTGGATCTCGCTGAGTTGTATTCCCCAGTTGTGTTGGTCAAAGTCCAGCAAAGGAACCAGTTTCGGAGTATTGAAAAAAATGACATTCCACCAAGTCCAAAGACCGTTGTCTTGCTCCCAATATCGTACAATGAGGGGGGACTGCCCTGTCTCCCAATAACGCCGTTACGCCGGACAACCCCTCTTCTTCTAATGGTATCATCGGTCTTATCGTCTATAATTCGCAAATCCCAAAGGAACAGAAATTCCTGGTCTCTATCCCAGCTCTACACTTGCCAAACAAAGGAAAGGTGTTTTTTTTTGTTGTACAATGAGGACATCCTCAGATAACCTCTTCCCGCTCGAAACCCTGAGCCTTCAGCGCTGCGTTGGGTTTCTCGCCGTCCTTGTATTCGCTGACGAAGGGGTTCGGGTCCTCCTTCTGGTTGAGGTTACTCAGAGTGTGATTAACGCCACGATGGACAGCCTCTGCGGTTGATGTCAGTAAATGCTTTGTCCCTATGAACTACTACTTGATAACACATACCATCAGCTCTGATGTACATGATCAGATCCTTCATCGTCCTGTGCCCCTCTGGAATCTTCCAGTACTGCACCGCAATGTCGGGGATCTCGAACTTGGGGTCGGACCACTTCGGCAGCAGGCCCTGGTCGATCTCGTGGATACACCTGGTGTACGTGTGGACGGCCTCCTCCTCAAGGTACCCGACGAAACGGTGGGTGATCTTGGGCGAGACCAGGTACGACAAGAACATGCCATTGAAGAAAACGCCTTGAGCGCCAAGGATCATGGTCTTCATGAACCAGCCCGGCTCTGACATCTTCATAAAGGTCAAGAGATGCATGCGCTCGTTGAAGCTAAGCCGAAACCATGTAAGTATGTCTGACTACACCGAGAGAACATCCTTCGAGCCGCGGCTACATACCTCTCTTCCAGGAGAGTCTCGATCCAGCCATTGTCGCGCTTCATGCGCCGCAGGCTACCAAGATGACGAAGCATGCCGGCGACCATGCCCGGGACTTGAGTACCGTGTCAGTGACCTTTTCCTGCTGACATGCAAAGAACAAGGGTGGAACTAGTTTGAAGGCTTACCTCCGGCAATACTCTCGAGAAAGATGAACCGCACCAGCCATTGCGCCTCGGTGAGCGGTTTGTCGGCAGTCAACGCCGTGGTCGGGTTCTTCTTGTCGACCTGCTGGTCCGCGCCCAGGCCCGTGGCTCTGTCCATGCACCACCTGGCCAGACGGACAAACTTCCACGCGGCCCAGTCGCCGACGGTGCGTGGCACGCGGTGATCCGGGACGATGTCCCGCATCTGTTGCTCCGTGTACCCCGGGTGCGGCCATGCCGGCGCGGTCGTGCGGATATGCTCCGTCTCCTTGGCGGGGAAGAAGTCCCGGAGCTGGGCGGCGGGCGTCGTCGAGAAGTTGCTGTGCTGCTGCTGCTGGATTCGGAGGCTTGCTGGGTAGTAGAGGGTGTGTGAGGAGGAGGCGCCGATTTTGTAAGTGGTTGCTGCTGCCCGGACGAGCTGGGCTGCGCCGGTTCGAGGCGCGCAAAGTTTGGTTGATGCTCTTGATGAAAGCATGGGTGATGATATTGTAGATGCTGATTGACTTGAGGTCGGATGGTGTTCTTCAGGTAATGTTGTGATGTTGTATTGATAATGCTGTGAGTACATGGAAGAGTGCCTGAGGAGGCTCACGGCCTCTGACTCTTATATATCACATCTTCAAGGCAAGTCGGCGGTAGTGGTGGCAGGGGGTTTCGGCCGTCAGACCCATGGGATGGATACACAAACACAATGCGCAAGGAAGACAGCGGTAACGGGGGCGGATTACTCAAGCCTACGAATACAGACCGGGTCAAAAACGAGTAAGAATTCTACTGTTTGCAATGCCTCAGGTCGCAGGCGTGCCCGTGACACCGGCCGGAGCTGTCCCCCGTGTCAAAGCTGAGGCTAAGTCGCCGAGAGTATTCCGGCTAGATTAGCCTCGATGCCTTGTTGCGTCCAGCTTACATTACCAGCGCTGTGGTTGACCAGGTTGACGGTTGTGACGTCTCCGATATCCGATCATTCGGGTGGGCAATACTGGTTTTGGTAGGTGGGGGGCACGGGGGACCAGCAGGCAAAGCCCGCTGGCGGGGATCAGCTGGACGGCGTCTGTCGGGAGCTCTCGGGATGGGACGCTGGAGACGCTGAGAACCATGGCTGAGCACTCCGCTCCTTTTTCGTCGGGCTGTGATTGGATGGATTCCGCCGCAGTCGCCAGAATGCACTCACGGATACGGACGTTTTCTCAGCGACAATTGTTTCCGCACGGGGGCAGAGGCATGCGTTTGATGCCGCTGCTGACGTTGGAGAGCCATTTGCATCATCTAACCCCCAGAATAGAGTTGAGCCGGCAATATAGGGCGCGTCCCGATGGTAAGGCGTTCACTTGGCAAACAGATTGATGCCATTGGGTTTGCCCCTGGGATCATTGAGTGGACTCGCTGTGGTAATCGCCGACCTCTCCGTGTGTTACCGTGGCTTTGGTCATGTCAAACAGGAACAAAATTCTCTCTGCAAAGCTGGTGCTGTTTGAGTCATGAAATCGAGAAAAAATCTTTTCCTTTTACGGGGAGGTACAGATGTGAACGGCGATGTTTACCGCGAATCCCCACTGAGCTTGTTTACGAATTTCAAATCCCGACTTGTGATGGAGCAAAGGCTCCAGAGCGGGACACCCGTCCGCCGCCGTCTTCTCCGCCGCCGCCCCGGAGGATCGAGGCCGGGCATGTGACCGTTCTAGAAATGGCATCTTTCAAGGCCAAATTCGAGATGACAGGCTGGGACCAGGATCTTGAGGGGCATGGGGGAGGGTGATTGGAGCACGAAACTGCCTCAGATAGGGGGCTTTCTTGGTGAACCCCGAGTATCCTGTTGACCAACGCCCTACGGTCCGCGGAGACACGGACGAGAAAACATTTTGCTAGTCACGTTGGCAAATTTGAGGCTGTTTTGGGCAGGACCATTTGGGAGGGATCGGGAGAAGGCGGCTGCGGCTCTGATCGCTTCAGGTCCGTCCGAACCTATGGCCGTGATCCATCGGTGCCTCAGCTGCCAGGCTACGAGAAGATCGTGGTACAGGTGCTGGGTTGGGTATTCATTTCAGATATTTGTGATTTTGAGTCGCTTTTCACCGGGGCTGTCATCTGCGCGAATAACATCACCTAGACGTCTGCTGAAGCCCAGTTGAGGCCTGACCGTAGCATATTAGGGCAAGTACTGAGCTTGTGGAAACGCGTTATCCAAAATCGACAGTTGCTTCGATGGTGCTGATCAAGACGACGGCGAGAAAGCGTCCGTGATGATGGGACATTCTCATTAGGGCGCCTCTACGCATCATCAAGTCTACCTTCTTCACCACGATCCACCAGGGACCGCAAGCAATGAAAGCAAAAGAAATCCTTCTCAGGAAGCTTTGGGTGTTCAAAAATTCCCTAGCCAGCCTAGGCCAACTAGGAGTGGTCATAGTTATAGTTTTCAACTAGCAAAAACACGATCTCGGACGAATCCTCACTGATACGCGTAAAGCCCTTGCACTCGGATGAAGAAGAGAGAGAGAGAAGCCAACAATACCTGCGGCACGAGCTGGGGTTTATATGTGTTTTCCAGGGTGGGTCACGGATCAGTAAAAGGTACGTACCTGAAGCTCTCCAGGTGAATTTTTTCAACAGGCAGCAGGCGCGGGGTCATTTGCTGGGTGAGTCACTGCGCGCAAACACCAACAAGGTGCCTGAGACGGAAGGGAGACTGAGGTTTTCCAGCAGGAGAGCTCATTATCTGCCTGGAAATGGCGCCCATGAAGAGGCAAGGGCCACTTGAGGCCACTGAGGCCAAACTCGGTGAGGTGTGATGCCCGTCATCAAGCTACCTTGCTACCTGCCTTACCTACCTACCTATGCAGCCCACGGCCCGAATATAGGGATGGCGGGGTCGGACATCCCACCTTCGCCTTTCGGCCCCGACTGGCTTACACCGTTTCTACCATGGGTTATGCAAAGTATTCCATGAGGAAATTGCCGAGGACGTATTGATTCTTGTCTTTATCAATCAGTAAGACTATACCTTGACGAGAGATGCCATGGTGTTTTAATGCACGCAGAGCATCCTTCAGCGCCTCCATCGTAAGGTACCCTTATGATCATGGCGGTCTACATCCTATGGTTTCCTACCTATTCCTTGCAGCCTCAGTTTTCCTGAGCGTACCTTCGCAACCCAAACGGATTATCCCCCTTCACAATGACTCTAGGCGTATCTTCTTCAGATGACGGGAGTGCAAGCGCAGTAGGGGTGCTATTTCCGTGCATCACAGACGCTGCCTGTAGAAGTCAATCAGGGTGACCTCAATACTTCAGACTTCGTCGGGTCTCCAGCGAGTTCCCCCGCTAGGTGCTGCCCGCTGCCGCGTTCGGCCGGGCTGGGCTTTCCCTTCCTCGGGCGCCCTTCACTGCTTTCCTGCCCAACCACGGACCCCCCTCCTGTCCACAATTTGTATCTCCGAAAACCAAACTTCAGGCTTGACGGGATTTTTTCCTCTTCGACCAACATCTCTGTTAATCGCCCGCTTCTCTAAGCTCTGCTTACGCCACCCATTGTCGACTTTCGACTTTTGATTTCTTGCCCCGCGTCTAGCACATATTCCATCTGACATCATGCCTCCTAAGAAGTGGGGTGAGTAGCTACATGTCCCGCACACGCACACAAATTATCCTCAGAGGCAAAATGTCACGATGATCTGGCTGGACCGTTTCTCGCGGCCATGATCGCCAACCCCACTTCAGCATCATGTCCTCATCTTCTTGAGCTATGCTGACTGGGTTCAACCATAGACGACGAAGACAGCGGCGAGGAGAGCTCCAGCTCCAACTCTCCCCCGGTTACCGCCCTCCGCCGTACAAAGTTCGATGACGAAGAAGACGAGGACGATGTACGTTCGCCGACCGACCCGCAACGTTGCGGCACGCACACACTGACACTTTCTTGCAGGTCCTCGACTCCTGGGATGCCGCCGAAGACTCCGAGGTCGAGCGCGAGAAAGCCAAGAAGGCCGAGGAGGCCAAGGCCAAGGCTGCCGAAGAGGCTAAGAAGAACAAGAAGTCCAAGACCCAGCGCATCGCTGAGCTCAAGGAGGAGCGCGCTCGCCGCGCCGAGGACGACGAGTCTGGAGAGGAGGAGACCGAGGCCGAGCGCCGCGAGCGTCTCCGCCGTACTGAGAAGGAGTCCGACATGAAGCACGCCGAAGACCTTTTCGGTGATATCGGAGTTCCCGCCGGCCGCAAGGCCACTCTCGCCGGCACCGCCGTCCAGATCGACCCCAACGATCCTAGCAAGACGGCCAACATCGCCCAGATGCCTCTCTTCAACCCCCAGACCAAGACCCAGTTCGAGCACCTCCGCACCACGCTGACGCCCATCCTCGCCAACAACGCCAGGAAGGCTCACTACGGTCTCTTCATGCAGGAGTTTACCAAGGGCTTGGCCAAGGAGCTCCCTAGTGAGCAGATCAAGAAGATCGCTTCTGCTCTCACTGCCCTCAGCAACGAGAAGATGAAGGAGGAGAAGGCCGCTGCCGGTGGCAACAAGAAGAGCAAGGCTGCCAAGACCAAGGTTTCCGCTGTCGTTAGCCGTGCCAGTGCTGCTGACACCGAGACCTACGAGGACGATGCCTTCGGAGAGTGAGTTACACTCTTAAGATGCTGTCAACATGTCCCGAATGCTAACATTTCCTCCAGTGACGACTTCATGTGAAGCAGCAGGCAGGGTTGCATCATTCTCCCATACCCAGCGTCCGGCCCCTTACAGTCCTGCGAGCCCGCTACGTGTCGTACAATTCGGCGCGTCTGCGTACCAAGATTGGCGGCGGCGGCGGCTTGATTTCACGCGATCATGTCCACACGGCACAACCCGTCGCGTCATTCGCACGTGGGAGCAAGGACCCTTGAGGGATCGCAACCGTTTGGGGCCGCTGGAGATTGGGCCAAAGCAGAAAAGATGACGAAGTTGGTTGGCGGATCAGTGAAAAATGGCGTCAAATTTGGCGGACGCTGAATAGATCATGGATGGTGTTCTTCGCACTCCATTCCGCTAGGGTCAGCATGCTACGCTGCATTTCTCGCATGATATCAGGAGCACGACGATTCATGATCGATGGATAATGGGACTTGGTAGATTAAAAAAATACGATAGATCCGATTCATCAAAGATTCATTTACAAGACCAAGACCACCCGTATAGCCCGACACATTCCGCATGTAAACATGGCGCATGTAGACACCACCAAGAGCCTTTTCGGAGAATACGATTCTTGAACACGAGCGAAGATTGGAAGCGAATTCATAAGTGTATGGCATCCGATGATTGCTAAGAGAAGTGGCTTGAACTTCGAGTTCAGATATGAGTAACGGGTTAACTCAGATATTCTGAGCATGCTTAAACAATTCAAGATCTCGCAATCCATCTTTTTTCGGTGATCGCACGAGCAAAGACTACAGCCAGCAGGAGAGGGCCTCCCTGTGATTCTCAGAGCAGTATTGTCTCGAGATACTTCATCAAATGGAAACATGCTCCGTCAGATACCTGCGCAGTATGGTCAGCGGATTGATATAAGGCCTCTTGTAGTCTGTGGGACCAGACATGGGAGAGGCGTCTATACATGCGAACACTCAAGCTACACCAGTCTCGACGACCGATTTCTAGACGAAGGAGGCTTTGGGCCTAGCATCACTCGACTCGACTGGTGGCTTGTTCTCTCGCCCCCGAGCATGCGTCCTCAGCTTGAAGCGTGTTGGCTGTTTAATGCTTCGTTCGCCGTATTTCCCAAGCATCCAGACGTACACCTTCTCCAATGCATGTCAAATGGCCATCAAAACAAGGGAGAGAGAGAACTTGAATCGCCGTGATAGGTGCATTCATGTTCTAGGTGAGCCCCAGAAGAGCATGCTTTGGTATCCTCGGGTCGAGGTCGAAATAGCATCCTGGGCTTCATATCGCGCGTTATGCATAAAGTAGCTGGTCAAGGGTCGCGGGGAGGGAGGGTGGAGAGATGTTTACAAGCACGAGCATGGTTCGGATCCCGGTTTGACGACGTGGGCATCATGCGCAAGATCTTCAACACAAATGCGATAAGCACAGTGTTGATGTGAGTCACAATCGAAGCGAAAAAGGCAAGCCAGTAAATGCGAAGTTGCAAGCACATACGAGTCAAAAATTGGAAATAGGGGTATCAATTATTTTGTCGTTACCTCTCCCCCCTACCAAATGTGTATCCCATGTATCGCACGGAACGCCTCGCCGCCCAGAAAGCAAAATGAGAGAGTGAAGGTGGTTTTGAGAGCCGACCCTTTCTACTCCGAAAACATGCTCAGCCGTTATATATACACATTTCCGTCTACGCAAAATGAACGCCCTTCTTTTTAAATCATGAGGCTCGTTACCACAGCCGTGCCCGCCCCAACCGGAGCAAAAGTTGATGAGAGGAGAGGTGGACTAGATGACGTTACCGGCCATGCCCATGAATAGGGCATGGACAGCAAGACTCAACGTCCAGAAGCCGACCTTCTTGAGTCGGCGTACGCGGCTTTGCTGGTTTTCGACATCGCGGGCAAAGGCCTCGTACGTCTCGGCTGACATGTCATCCATCAGACCGCAGTCGAAGATGGTCCAGCTGCCGTCGAAATCACTAGCGCGTTTGACTATGCGGCAAGTGATGGGGATGTATGTTTTTTTGGCGTTGATGTAGGCCACAATGGGACGAACAAGCGCCTGGTTGATGTATGAGATGTCCTTTGTGAAAAGGGGCACGGCGGCCTTGACATCGTTCATGTGAATGCGGAGGTCCATAATAAGGTACCGCCTGTCCTCATCAGTTTGCTCAGGCTCCTCGTCATCGTGGGACTCGGGAGATTCCGGAGTGCTGTACCCGACAACCTCTGGCGTAGCCTGAGAAAGATGACCCGATGTTGGAGTTGGGCCCAGAAGCGCGGCAGCGTCGATAAGGAGGTCCTTTTGGAGAAGGCGCATGCGGTTCGAGATGACCACATCCTCGAGTTGGTCGTAAAAGTCTGACATAACCTTGGTAATGCTGTCGTCCAGATCGGCAGGAAACATGACATCCGCTACGATGTCAACATTTCCCTCGTAAATCCAGCCGAAAGGACCTTCAACGCCTCGATTGAGGTGGTCAATCTTGAGGCCGTCGATGCGAAGGCGGCTAAACTTCTTCCATGCCGACGGCTCGCCAACATCATTGGCAGCGTCTCCGTTCTCGCCAGCCACGGTGCCATGCACCTGACGAGGGTGAATGGTGAATAGAGAGCCATCAAATGACCCAGACATGTGTGTTGCTGAGAGGAAGTCGTAGAACAGCCACTGTTTCCTCAGCTGTGGTAGCTCGCAGGAGAAGATGCTGACCGAGAATGGCCGGAAGCCGTTGGGCTGGTGAACCGTCACGAGAAGATCCTCGAGCTTGAAGGAATCGATCTCAAAGTCGCCAGGCTCGTGGGTGTGACGGTAGGAAAGAGGATCGACGACCTCATCCGACCACACAACTGAGGTACGGTCCACTACCCCTCGGACTCCCTTGACCTCGACATCTTTCAGGAAGCCCTTTCCGTTCCACCATTTCAGGAACGACAGGGTGACGTTCACGGTAGCAATAGTGACATCGTACTGCGTGTAGTTGCCGTCGTCCTCTTCCAACACTCTAACATCACTCTCGTCGTGCTTTTCGGCGGCTGCCACAGCCGCGGCATTCTTCGAGGAACCCTTGCTAACTGAGGATGTGACCTGTCCGGGCCGTCGTGATACGAAAACGTTTCTAAAGGTGATAACGCCGTCACCCCACTTGGGGACGATGGCCGACTCGAAGACCACCGTGACGCCAGCAGACTCGGTCAGAGAATCACCGACCCATTTCGCGAGAGTTTCTAGGACAGAGCATCAGTGACTGGGTTGCCTACAAGCAGTGCAGTGAACGTACCCTGTGCAAAAACCGTGTTGATACTGAAGATGATGAGGGAGAAGAAGGTCGTGGTACCGACGAGAATCCAGACAAGGTGACCGAACAGGAACCACGATACGAAAGCACCCCATTCATCAATATTCCACGGCCTCATACTTCTAATGCCCGCCCACTTGAATCGCACCTTCATGCGACCCAAGAAGCCATTGGCAGCGGCGAGAAGCTCTTCCCGAGTGGGCCGGTGCGGCATCTTCGGTATGTGCAAATATTTCGACATGGTGGAGGCAATCGACTCCGCGTCGTGGTCTGATGTGTCGGCCTTGTCCTGATGTGTAGCCTTAGCATTTTGCTGCTTCGGCTGGGCTGCCGTGCCCTTTTCCTCGGGCTTCCCGCTCTCGGGGCTGTGGTGCCTCCTCTCTTTCGGTGCCGCGCTCCTGGAGTCGTTGTGTATGCCTCGTCGCCATGCTAGTCTGCTCAGCTGGTAGAGCTTCGACTTGCTCGTCAGCCCCGCACCCGCAGACTCGGCAGCAGCGGCGGCGCATGTAACTACCGCAGCCTGCGAGGGCGAAAGGTTGGTGGTGAACCCGACCAACAGCAGGCCGCTCCCAGTGTAGCTTCGTTGCGCATGATAGACGTTCGGTCGTGGAAACGAGTGTCGCCCAGAATGGATGGTTCTTCGGAAAGATGCCGCCTTATAAGTAGGATTGGCAGCCGGCTGAGTAGCCCTGAAGCAGCCGTTCCTTGTTGCAGCAGTTGTGATAGTCGTCCCTTGCAGACCCAGAGTCTGCGACGCCGATGCGCTGGCGCAGGACCAGAAGCGACGCCCAAGAAGAGTCGTCGCAGTGTTAGACATGTCTCCAGCTCATCCTGTCTCTTGGTCGAACAGAGAGACAGCAGATGAGGAAGAAGAGCCGGTTGATTATCTACCTCGAAGGGTATGTGCGGGGGGGAGGGAAGGGGCGGCTTGCAACAATCGGATTGTAAACAAGATGCAAGAGGGAGAGAGAGGCACGGCAAATGTTAGTACATTTCATGCGCTCATGCAGATGTGACTGAGATGTAAACCTGCGCCAGGGAAGGCGCCTGTGAAAAGTCATCCATGACGCGCTACCACAGCTTTCCCTCGCTGAACCCAGCTGGACCCATTCCAGAGATACCTGACGTATGGGGCGTCACCTCCCACCAGCACCCCTCCTGCTGCTGGAGGCTGGAGCCAGGGCAAAGAGAAAAATTTAGTCAAAAAGGCAGCATGGTCTGTGCTGCCGTGGCCTGGGCCCCTGCTTCCACTCATGTAAGCAATGGTTAGTGCATGGTGAAGCTTGTGTACCTGGTCTTCCTAAACCCTCAACGTTATTCCTTGAAACCCCAAAGCCAAGAATCTTCCTGCAGGTAGTTTGAAATACTCAAGCCAGCCTCTCTCTCAATTAACGTGCGCTGTGACTCAACCGAGCAGGATGGATATTGCTGCAAAAAGATGCCATGCTGAGCAAGGATGGTGGTGACACACAGTTCACTACGGATACCAGCCTCCACTCTGCTCTGGTCCCCTCTTTCGTTTCTCAAGTCCGTGCCTCCACCCCCCTCACCCAAGAGCCTCTGTCTCTGCTTATCCGCTTATCGATAAGAAAAAACACAAAAATTTGGGATTGCAGTTTAATCGAATTGGTCTGCAATTGATACCCGCCGCTTTTTTTCTTCACAATCGCCTGCCCCCGCCGCCGCCGCCAGACCGACTCACCCCGACACACAAACCGGAGTCCCTGGCCGAAAAAAAACGATATCCAAGTGCGAGTTCTTGTGAATTTCCAGCAATCGGTTCCAAGATCCTAGGAATCTGCGACCACCAACATCCCCTTCCGAACCGCCCATCATGCCCGCCCCTACCGCCAAGCAGGTGGAAATCGCCGCCCCGCCGCCCGAGGCTGCTTTCCAGGAGGAGCAGCAGGACGAGGAGCTTCTGCTCGATGCGCCGACTGCGCTGCCCGAAGAACTGGATGCGATCATGCCCAGCGTGCCCCAGAACGGAGAGGAGAGCGAGATGGTCGTCGACGAGGAGAACCGCCCGCGCTTTGCGCCTGCTAGAGACATTGTGCGCCTACCAACATACTCGTGAAAGAGGAATTCTTGATATCAGGGACTAAACGTTGCTCCAGGACCCCGTCACCAGAATAGAGACCCGTAAGGTCCCGGTGCCTCCTCACCGCTTCACCCCCCTCAAGTCTGCCTGGCCCAAGAGTACGTTTTCGCACAATGTCTTTAATGATCGCCTTTGTCTGACGAATGCGCGCCCACAGTCTACCCCCCTCTCGTCGAGCACCTCAAGCTTCAGGTCCGCATGAACCCGCGGAGGAAACAGGTCGAGCTCCGTACCTCCAAGCACTCCACCGAGGACGGCGCCCTGCAGAAGGGCGAGGACTTTGTCAAGGCCTTTACCCTGGGCTTCGACGTCGACGATGCTATTGCGCTGTTGCGTCTAGACGATCTTTACAGTAAGCAATGCTTTTGCGGAAAGTAGACATTACAGAACAGTTGCTGACACTACCATAGTCGAAACTTTCGAGATCCGAGACGTCAAGCAGGTCATGGGCAACGAGGCGCAGGGCCGTGCTATCGGTCGCATAGCAGGCAAGGACGGCAAGACGAAGTGTATGTCGCTAGCATATTGCAAGCCCGTCCCCCAAGAAACCGTCACTAACAGCAGACGCAGTCGCCATCGAGAACGCCAGCAAAACCCGTATCGTCCTGGCCGACAGCAAGATCCACATCCTCGGCGCCTACAAGAACATCCACATGGCCCGTGAATCCATCGTGAGCTTGATTCTCGGAAAGCCTCCTTCCAAGGTCTACGGCAACCTGAGAACAGTTGCTGCGCGCATGAAGGAGAGATTTTAGAGAGGGAATACCAACAAACAAAAAAAGCTGGAATTGGACAGAAGAAAAGTGAAGGAAAAGTTTTAAAAGGACTCTTGGGTGATTTAATGATGGCATGAAACGACATCCTGTCATGGACTCCGGCGTTGTGGGCATTTTAGAGATTCCAAATCATTACATGGGCAGGAGGGAAATATGATGAAGCACTTGAACCATCATTGTCGTGCTGCAGGTGAACCTTTATGAATAAAGCGTTTGGAGGGGCAGATGACCGAAGACGCTGCTCAGTACAACTCGTCCGATGCGTAGGAACTGCTGACATTGCTTCCATCTCTTGACAGCGAGTAAGGAGCCGTCAAAATCTGAGACGCAAGCACGCTTATTGCAACATGGAATTTCAGGAATTTTCCCAGTGTGATGTGGTAAAATCCGCACAACTCGTTTTCAGCAAACACGATGCAAAGGATAGTGAAGATGAAAGACAAGGAATCAACGGGAAAGCGACAGTCACTTCACTAAATGATCCTCATGCCGCCGACTTATAATCCAAAGAAGCCTGGTACACATAATAGGTCTCTCTAGCATCGACATGCCCAGAGGCTACAAAGGTCACCAAATGTCCATGTCTGAGTGCGGAACGAACCATGTCCATAATGCGTTACTCCATAGACGTCTATACGTGCCTACCCGCCGAAAAGACTTTTTTACATAATGGCCGCTCACCCGGCGGCCAACCTGCAAGCCAAGCCCTTTATCCAGGCGATTCGTCTCGATCAGGGGGACGAAAACTTTTCCCCTTCCCAGGTCACTCTTACTGACTACCTCAAATTTGTCTTCTTCCGTTTCACGACCACCATTTCGTTAGGTTAGATGTGAGCATTCAAATCCCCGTAGCTCTCTCACTCTCTCGTAGTTTTGTGTATTCTGCTTGACAGATTTACTCCTCGTCACCCTCGCCCTCCTCCTGGGGGGCCTCCTCCTGCTCGTCGTCCTCGTCGAGGCTGCCGGCGGGCACCTCGTACAGACGGAGGATGGACTTGTTGGGGTCCTTGACGAGCACGTACTTACCGTCCTGCTCGCGCTTAAGGCACATGTCGGCAATAGTGCGGACAATACCCCAACCGTTGGAGAGAGACAGGTTCATCTGGTTGGCGAAGTCGCGGGGCTTCCAGCCGACGACGCCGAGGATGACGTGCTTGTCGTTGGACTTGGGGTTGGCACGAGACACGAAACTTTGGTATTGTTAGTCTCACATGTTTAACATGTTTGAAAGAGGGGGGAATTGATGGGGAAAGGCATACCCAAGCTTCATGACATCGGCACGGGCAAGGATGGACTGGACAGTCCACCTGGCGAGCTTGCAGGAGTTGTTCTTCATCTCAGTCGCCACGACGGCACCACGCTGGCTGACAAGCTTGGTCCTCCAGTCAAGAGCACCACCGCTGCCCTGAGCCTTGCTGTCGAACTCGTTGAGCGCGTGCAGGGTGACGAGCTGGTCGTCGCCGCTGATGGCATTCTTCTGAACGGCGTCGACCTCGGTACGGACGACAAGGTAGACGTTCTCCTCCTCGTCGTTAGTGGACAGGTCGAACTTGCGGTACTTGTAGGCCTTGCTGGCGGGGGGGTCGGTGTCCTCGGAAGAGTTGTAGAAGGGGTTGGCGTGGGGGAACTGCAGCTTCTGCGTCTCGTTCTCGATGACGACCTGGTTGGCGAAGTTGTGGTTGATGTAGGTAGCCTCCTCGGCCAGGGCGCCGGGCTGGTTGAGGGCATCCTTGCTGCCGTCGGCGGCGTCAAGAGGAGCGTCGGCGGCATTCTCGTTGACGGTGACCATGTCGAGAGCAGCGTTGTCGCGCTTGTCGATGAAGACCTTGTTGCCCTGGACGGAGATGACAATGTCCCAGGGGTAGACGGAGCGGGGAGAGCACATGAGCATGGACAGAATGCTGTCGGTAGCGAAGATGGTAGCCTCGCCCTTGTCGGCAAGGTCTTGGATCACAGGATCGGAAGAGGTGGTAACGTTGTAAGCGGCACGGTCAATAGCGTTAAGCCTGCGCTCAGTGCCCTTAACAGGGGGCTTGTCGTAGGAGCGGTCGTAACCGTAGACGAAGCCGTAGGCGTCGATCTCCTCGCCCTCGTCGGCATCCAGGTTGAGCTTGGCGAGACGGTTGAAGTCGATCTCCTCAAGCAGCTTCCAGTCGGCCTTGATGTTGATACTGGCGTCACGGTTGCGGGCAGGCTTGTCGTAGTCCTTCCAGCCGAAACGGCGACCGCGCTGGCCACCGCCGGATCTGCCACCACGGTCGAAGCCGCCGCCGCCGTAGCCCTGACGACCGCCCTGCTGGGTGCGGTTGATGGCCTGGCGGCCACCACGGGTGGTGGTGGCAGCTCCGCCGCGCTGACCACGGCCACCGCGGGTGAAGACGGCGCCGCGGCCGTATCTTGTCTTGGTGCTGTCACGGGTGTTGCTGACAACGGAGAATGTGGACTCGTCCTCGGCGGGAGGGGCGTTGAAGGAGATGGCGTGGCCAGCACCATAGACTTGCTGGTCTGCGGGTGAATGTTAGCGACGATATTTTTGACATTCGTTCTCGAAGAGTGCACCTACCACGGTAGTTACGGTTGTACTGCTGTCTTCCTCCACGGCCATCTCTGTCCTTGCCCTCGGAGGTCCAGTCGGCCATGCGACCGAGCTTGTCGCCCTTGGAGAAGGGCGCATAGGGGACGCCATTCAGAGTGGTGTCGCTGGTGACTGGCGGGCCCCAACCGTCGCCGGCCGGGCAAGTCTCAACGAGCTTGACCCAGTCGATTTCCTGAGCCATGATGAAGAACGTGTGTGAGTGCGTCCTCGGATGGGCTGCGCAAGCGTTCGGGGGGAGTCGGTATTAAAGGGCGCTGTTGCGGGTGGCAGCGGGCAGCGATTCGGCTCTGGAGAGGGAAAAGTCGTTCAAGGGTTTGGGCTGTGCCGTGTGCGCCTCCTCTCGCCGTCGATTTTCGACGTTCGGTTTTTGGTGGGGTGAACTTTGTGGGGCAGAGCGGGCAAAATTTCGTGCACTGCGCGACACCTGGCGGCCACTGGCATCCACTCGTTTCCACGCGACGCGGGGCCACCACCACCACCTGAGCGGTCGGCTACCTTCCTGTGTCCACGGTCTGCGGGCAGTGAATAACCAAGCCGATGCCTGCAGATTGATTCATCTGTCCCGTCAGGTTTCGAGTCACAAAGAAAGGGTCTCTGAATCTTCGAACAATACGTGATTTTGATTTTCTATTTGCTTTACCCTCATTACCGATTCATGGTATCAATAGTGTTGTTCCCAGAATACGCTCATGTTTCCCGCTTGAGCATCTCATCAGATAAGTAGTACAGGCTGGGATTGTTTGAATCCCTTATATACACCACACCCTCGCATGGCCAGCAAAGGCACAGCTCAACTATCTTGATAATGAAATCTCAGTAGACCATCATCTCAGGTCGGGAGCAGAAGACGTTCTCCAGGGCATCCCTGACCTCGAACTCCTCCATCACGGCGCCGAAGCTATGCACAGGTTAGTAACATGCTCACATGCAAGAAGAACAAGAGACATCGGACGGAGCACATACCCGTAGCATCGGACCTTGTCCTTGAGCTCGTCAGTGAGCTTGTTGAAGTCCTCGGCGCGGAGCTCATGGCACCGGGGGTGGCCGAGAACCATGCCCCAGGCCATGACGGGCGTGACCTCTCCATCGAGGTTGAGCTTCTTGCTAAGGTCCAACAGGGCTGAAAGACTGCCCTTGCTCACTTCCCACGTTCTCTGCTGAGAATCCAAGTCCCCGTTGACGTTACTGTATCCGAACGGGATGTCGGGCGTCAACTCGGGGAAAGGCGCCGGGGGGCACGAGGCCATGAGTGCGTGGCCGCAGGGTTCGCCGCCCATCTCGCTTGATCTCTCTAGTAGCCAGGGCATGTGATTCATGCAGGGTTTCTCGAGACTGTACATACCCTCGATGAAATCGCACTCGTTAGCAAGCCCTTCCGTAACTGTGTTTTTTTTGTCTTCGATAATCATCGCTCACACCACGCGACTCCCGGCGGTGACCAGAATTGGTGGCATGAACAACGGCTTATTTTCACTGCGGGGGAGGTGATAGGTATGCCTTCGAGGGGTGGTGGTTATCGTACGTTAAGACGAAGTCAATGCCCGCTTGCTCAAAGTCCACATTTCTGCCAGAATTCTGCTCCTGCATGTTTTGCAGCTGCTGACCGCCCATCATCTGAGGAAGGGGAGGGGGCGGACCGTGGGAGTGGGAGTGAGACGGACCGTGAGACGAGGGCGACACCGATGGCGCTGTCGTGGATGTCATCGGCGGCGTGTACGCGTTTTGGCCGTAGCTGTGGCCAGACACACTGGCGCTGGACGTGTATCCTGCGCTGGGGTTGCTGATCATGTCATCGCCGTAGTGCGAGAGAGGGATGCCGTTTTGGGCCAGAATCTGCTTCAGTTGTCTGTTCTCCTCGGCCACTTTGTCCTTGTCTTGCGAAATATTGCTGAAGATCTCTTTTAGTCTCAGCACTTCGTCTTCCAGAGCCTTGATATATAGCTCTTTTCTCTCACGATGCGTGCTGTCATCGCACTGTCAGTAACTGATGCAATCCCGTGATGATTGCTTATCGAGGCAATCGTAGCTTACCGTTGCGCTTGACGGTTCAGTTCTTGTCTCCTGGTCAGAGCCGGCTTACTATCGGGCTTCGGCCCTCTCCTCTTGGGCGGATTGCCATCTGCAAGGCTCGATTGTTAGATTCTGGACCGCTGGCACCTGATCTTGAGGTATCCTACCACGTGTCGTCCTCTTTTCCGTCAAGGATTTGAGGAAACCGAGGTTCAACGAGCTCAGGGGCCCCTTCTCCTGGTCGGAACCACCACCACCGTTACCGGAGCCGCCACTGTACGGCAATTGTTGCGGCGCCTTCCCGTACTGGTCAGGCGACAACGAGGAAGCCATCGCTGCCCTCTCGTATAGCGAGCCAGACGACTGCTTGCGTGCTGGAGACGACGAAGGGTTCGGCGGGGAGCGATAAGCAGCTATGTTGCCCAAGTCAGTCATTTTGTCGTTCAAGAAGCGTCGCCGTCAAGCGACCACGTTTAAGAAGAACGGTTGCGACTCATGTCGTCATGAGGGTGTCTTGCGCGTTACTTGGCCCGTCTTTATGGCGGGAGTGGGCTCTTTTTCAAATAGGTGCGCCCGGCTCGAGGCGCAGCTCGCAGTGATGACAGAAAAGGAACCGGATGGATGGACTTCAGGGCTTACCTTGGAAGATTGGATGCGCGGCGGACAGACTCCCGATTCGTCTGGCAATGCGTGGCTGTTGGACGACGGCGACTGCGAGCCGTCACAGCAAGGGGGAGATGTGTAATGGGAGAGGATTGAGCCGTCCAGATTCAGAGGCCTGTATCATGCGCTCGCTGTTTGCCGGGCCGCGATTATGGTTATTTGGAAAGAAATTGATCCCGCACTTGAAACCCAATTCTGGCGTCCGAGCTGTCTGAGGATACAATGCGGCGCGGTGAGGGGGATGAGCAGGGCGTGGGCAGGCTAAGGGTCGGGGTCATGTAGGGAAGACTGGTCCGCCCTGTTTTAGATTTGTTTGACACACTCCAGACGAAGACGATGTCGTGCGTCTTGATCTAGGTCTGGGGATGGTTGCAGCGAAGCTCCCCTTTTTTGAACTGCCCGCCTAATGATGGGCTTTTCGGTTGGGGAAGAGGGGTTGGAGGAATGGCGGAGAGAGAGTGTGTGTGTGTGAGATAGGTGTGGTCGTGGGAGTAGGTAGATAGGGAAAGCTGAGGCGACGAAGACGAGGTAGAGAACGGATGACGGCGGAAGCGGAGCAGCAGCCAGAGACAGAGGGAGACCCGACAGCAAACCGAAGAGACGGGGGCGAGATAACCCTTTTTCGCTTCTGAGCTTTTGCTGTGGCCGTGTGGTGGTTTTCAGGTGCAGATGCAGGTGCGTAAGGCAAGGTGTGCGTGGTGGCTAATGCTGTCGCGAATCGAGATGACGAGAACAGGCGCTACCGCCGCTCTTCTAAGACAAGTATGGCGGAAGCGGAGAGCAGCAGCAGGAGGGTGAGCGAACAGGATGACAGACAGCCAGCCCGGCAGTCGAGACCAGGCGAGTCGAGTCGGGTATGGACGATAAGAAGCCGCAAAAGGACGGGCGGCGGACAAGCAGTTGGGAAGAAACGCGGGGTCTCAGCAGCAGCAGCAGCTGGAACACAAGCAGAAGCAGAAGCAGGCCGCCGTTCGGATCAAGTTGAATCCAGTCCGCTAAGAGGAGGCGAGGAATGCGAACTATGAAAGGGTGGCTTTGGTCGATTTCCGTATGCGACTCGTTGAAATTCGATCAAGGAGCGGATTCCGCTTGTCTTTTCGGTAGGCTGGGCCAAGGTACTGGCTGGAAACAGAACTGATCAGAGCAGAGGTTGGTTTGTTAGGCAGGTCGTCTTCCTGGCTGCTGGTCTGGCCTGGCTGCGGTGACAAGGGCTCCGAGGTCGTTGCTTTTTCGGGATCATCGGCGTGCCCACGCAGCAACCACGCAATGCAACGAAGCGCAAATCTGGGCAATGTACCGTACCCAGGGTTTGTAGATGTGGATGTAGGCGTAGACGTACGTAGATTGAGAGAGAGAGATATGTCGCGGCGGAACGGCGGCAAGCCTATCGATCTGGCCACCGGGTAAAGCGTAGGGCTACTGAGATGGTCTGTAATTCCCGTGGCCCTTTGAGTCGACAGAGGCACGAAGAAGACGCCAGAGTGATTTGTATTTATGTCTGGCGCCGGTACTGGGCTCGGCTTGGCTCCTTGCTAGGCTATGGTGGCGGCGGGGTTCGCTCGAAAGGCGCAGACCGTGGAGGAGGCGTTGGTCTCGACCCTGACTTGGACTCCAACTGCTGCGTCCGCCCACTGCCCAGCGGTCAACTCAGGGCCAGGTGCGGTGTATCCGTACTGATCCTGGTTTTCGGTACCTGTCCACCACGCTCAGTACGCAGTATGCAGGCCCGAATGGGATGGTAGGAGGGTGAGAGCAGAGAGGAAGAGGGGAAATTCTTGTGTTGGTCAGAAAAGGCGGTAAAAAGCCGCAGCGGGAATTCTTGCTCTATTATTCAGAGAGCTCATCTACAGTAACCTTAGGTAGCTAGCTACCTTAGGATGTGAGGAGGGTTTAAGAGGGGAGGGGGTATGAGAATTTAGTCGTAATGCAGTAGAGTAGAGCAGAGTAGGGAGCAGCTGCAGCATCGAGCTTGAATCCGCGTGAGATTCGGACAAAGTCAAAAAGGTCTCAAGATTTCCGAGCTTCCTTTCGTTGTCCAGGTATCCAATGCGCCTTAGTCGAGGAGGGGGCCCGATCGAGGCAGACATCTCAAGTACGATACTTTATCGAATCGAGGCCAGGAGAAGAGGAAGAAGCTTGACTAGCAGCAACATGAAGCTACCTAGGTTCTGCCCTTTGACAAAGAGCGCGCCGGGCCAGCTTCCATTCAGGCGGGGCCAGCACTGGAGGGGTTCCTATTCGCAGGCACAGGGTACCTAAGGTCAGGTCAGGGCAGGGCATGGCACTGAAGTAGGTAGGTACCTTACTCCATACTCATACCTTACTGCGGTAGGTGTGCTGCGTATAAGTACATGCGCGGGAAGCATCCTGGATTCGATCTTGTTGGCCGCTCTGTTTCTTCGGGAGCAGCGGCTGGCCCCCACAAGCCTTCCAGAGGGCTCACCTTAGTACGGAGCACCCACTTGGGGTGACTTGCTTGACTCAGAGTGGTCGCCCACAGCTCCGGTCCCTGCAGAGCAGAGCTGTTGGAAATTTCCAACGCCCGCCAGGAAACACCAAACACCAAACACCGTCTCGTCGCGTCGGGGTGAGCTCCGAGCTTGTCCGCTCAGTTCAGGGCAGGCCAGGGTCGAGTCGAGAAGGCCTGCCGGGCAGGTCAAGACATCCATAGGCCTGTCTACCTAGGTAAGGTGGCCACGACAGCCCTGAGACTCGGTGATGCCTTGGGACCAATATCCAACGCCTTCATACGCCCGTAACAAGAACCCCATGACTGGCCCAGCCTCTCGAATCACCTCCCCAACAGCATGAGATCCCGGCAGCCTGCGACGGCCTGCTTGACGAGCTGAATCCCAGCCCAACCTTAGCTGCGGCCATGCGCGCAGTCGAGCGAAAGCCAAGACCAGAGACCCGACCGACGCGGGTATACGAATCTTGAAATCTCGCAGGAATATCTCTTAAGCGACCACCAAAACCCGGCCCACGCCATGCCGCGCCCCATGCAGCATCAGCATGTATGTTATGTTTATGTACCTTGCGCAAGTTCCTTCCGCAGTACGGATATTAAGCCTCGGTATGGCTCGAGTGACCATGGCAAAAACCCAATGGCTGCTGCATCAACATCGGACGAGCTTGAGAAAAGCCAAGAGTCCCTTATCTCAACCTCCTACTTCAATAATGCGAACCCGGCCGACTTCCTGGGTGTTGCTATTTTGACATTTCTGCCGCCACCTCTTTTGACACATGAGCACCAGTCCGTGTGTCGCTGTCCTGTCATTGTCAAATCCGTGTCGGCACACGTCGTGCATTTGTCGGATCACGGTCCGCTGGCACTTTGACGTCTCACCCCTGGCTTCTGGCTGGACTGCATCTTCCATACCAGGTACGGATACTCGACTCGGCCCATGTGATCAGCAAGCACTCCGCGGCATGGGAGAAAGGGAAACCCCTGGCTCCACAATTGGGGGATTATGGAGGGGCCACTCATCCTCGTTGCCATTATTAAGGAACAGAGTTCAACGTGCCGTTCATCGGCTCCAAAGATGGACGACGGTTCTCTCGCCCGACAAAAAAAAAAGTCTATGCCGTCATACCGTATCCCACTTGGGAACCCCGGCGGGACCGGCGATTCTGCTAGTCGAGAACGAGCCATTGCGGTACTATGTTTCCTTTTCGCCCGAGTCTTCTGTGCATCTTGCAGTCGCAATCATGTCTATCGAATGGAATATCCTCAGCCCATGATCGCCTAGAACCAGAGCTTAAAAGACTCCTTGTCGATCAAAGCAGACAGGGAACACGGCGGTAGCTTGTGCTTGCCTCAACGACCGAGCGGCGGGAGAGGCGCGCACATCTCCGAGACGAGTTGAACCCCAGATCACACTCACTACCCACTGCCCTAAGCTTGTTCCAAAACGCCCTCTCCAAGAACTGGCGCGGAAAGTCACGCGCACGCGGCTCCCTTTCGAAACATTCCCATCCCAGGGCGAGGTACCCCTGGGGGGAGGAAAGGCCAGTAGGTAGATCACTCAGCCGCGCTTCGAACCGTCGTCTCTTTTGCTCCCGCTACTGTCCGTCGCATAGTACGAACAGGACATAGTCAACAACTTTATTGCTTACTTTTTTTGGCGGAGACTTTTACTGCCCAAAAGCTGCGACTTGCGAACAGATTTCCAGAGCTGAAGGTACCAGAACGTGCCCTTACCGTAAGGTAGCGAATTGGATTGTTTCGCTTCGCTTTCGCTGTCGCTGTCGCTTTCGACTTGAGCCTTGACGACGGAGTTGGTTATCCACACGTCGGTCATCGTCATGGCCGGCAACGGTAATATGATCACTCACTTCCGGGGAGCCGCAATCTTGGCGCCGTGGGTGCTCTGGCTGCTGCTGGCCGACACCGCCATTTCCCTCCAGCTGCCGTTTAAATGGTTCTTCCCCGACTTCGTCTACAACTCGTCTTCGAGGATCGCCGAGACCGTGTGGTACTGGATCCAGATCATCTTCGAGCGTTTCAACGGCGCAAACATCACCTTCTCCGGTGATGCTATTCCGCGCGGAGAGTCGGCCGTCGTGGTCGCCAACCACGTCGGATGGGCAGACTTTTACATGATCCAGGCCTTGGCCATCAAGGCCGGGATGCTCGGTCGGTGTCGCTACTTTGCCAAGATTCAGTTGCGGATCGTACCGTTCCTGGGCTGGGGTTTGTGGGCGATGGGCATGCCCATGGTGAGCCGCAACTGGTCCAAGGACAGGCATGAACTCGACAGAGCCTTCTCGGGCATCGTTAATAGGCAATGGCCAACTTGTGAGTAGCTGCTGGCGAGGGCCCATCCCGAGACTGTGAAGATGGCAACTGACCTAGTGCAGGGCTCATCAGCTTCAGCGAGGCCACCCGCTTCACAAAGAAGAAGTACGAGCAGTCAATCGTCTGGTGCAAGGAGTCGGGGCGTCCGCAGCCGATGCATCTACTCTACCCAAGAACTAAAGGCTTCATCACCACCGTGCAGCATCTCAGAAAGGCCTCTCATGTCAAGGCAGTGTACGACATCACCATCGCGTACCAGAGGGGCGACGAGTTTCATGCTGCACCGACCATGTGGGACACCCTCAGCGTCCCCGGACTCAGCTCTAGGCTTGGATACAAATTCCACGTCCATGTGCGAAGGTTTCCGCTTGAGACTCTGCCGACCGATGACGAGAAACTGGCCAAGTGGCTTGAGAATGTTTGGGTTGAAAAGGGGGAGTGGCTGGACGTGAAGAAGGCTGAGTGGGCGTCTACGGCATGAGGCTATCTGAAGAAGCCATGCGTAGCAAACTCTTCGCTGCCCACGCCCAACTCTTTGTGCGATGAGAACAGCGCAATGTGGCAGCATCAAGTCTGTCGAGATCATAATGAGTCGGTCGATTACGAGAGGTTTTTACCCCAGAAGACCACCTAATTAAATAAAATATATTCCCGAAATCAAAGCCAACCGAGAGATGAACTCCGTACATGTGCATGTTTGGCATGTAGTCGACATGCGGGAGCTTTCGGCCAACAAAACAATGTTTGCTGGTCCCCAGACTTTTCAGATACCGCGTGATCTATTGACACCTTGGCGCCACATGAAGACGGACGCGAGCCCAACGCGCAGGCGCCCAACGCCATGATGTCGTCAAGGTGATTTGCCAATAGGTTAGGCACAGCGGCATCGATGGATCAGATGTCTTGCAGAATAGCCCAACCGTTAGAGAGCATCAAGTCACACCAATGAACGGGGGCGGCCAAACGGAAGAGCCCCCGTGTCTCACAGGGAGATACGTTCAACAAGGCGATCGCCAATAAACGTCAGACTGAGGTGATGATGGCGGTTTTATGACAACTATCTCGTCATCCGCCGTGAGGAGACCGGAAGCACCTAGCTGAGCTAAATACAGCGGAAGCTATCAAACTGTACCCTCTACCGGCGAGTTCTGTCGATAACGGCATGAGCAAAGGTGGTCATGACAGGCGTCTGAATGGCAACTTCTGCCGGAATCACGGGAACAAGGTCGTACATTCCGTCATGTATAGTAGTGTATGTGACTACTCGTGTTAATTGCAACTATTAGAACCATGCGCTAAGTTCGAATACCATGGCTTTGCTCCCGAGTCCGAATTTGCGGCCTGTTTATGCGTCGCCGGCGGACGTGGTTCACGAGCTACCTGTATCGTGAACGGGCTGTGGCTTCTTCCTCCGTAGACACTTGATCTACACACATTGTGAAATAACAAACAAAAGGCCGAGGCAGGATTTACTGACCGGATATCTTCACATTCACAGAATATCGCACGCAAGTTTGGCGTATGCATCAGGGAGAGACATTGTCATAGAACTTCAGTTGCTATGAATCCTGGGAGAGCCTCGAGCCCATCCGGTTCTTCTGTTGTATTATATATTAAAACCTTGCTTCTGATTCCAATTTCTTCCTCGTAAACACTTTTTTTCCTCTGACAATTAACTCCATGCTTCCTAATCAGCCAGTAAACGTTGAACTGCAAGCCAAAAACCCCCCTTTTCAGCATCTTGGCTCAATTGCCTTCAAGCATCTGGTGTACTACCCGCAGAGGCAGCCATGGCCTCTCTTGCCAGTATGTTGAGTTGCTCTCTTTCCTCCGTGGTCTCTCTGATGGCTGCGGGTGTTGCTGTCGTGGAAGACGGCGCGGAGGCGTCTGTGGTCGGGGTTGGCGTTCTTTTCCCCGCCGAAATGTTCTCGGTCCTCGGAGGTGCTGGTAGAAGTACACGGGGAGCGGGGGATTGAGAAGCCGGCAGTAGCATTCGAGGGGTCGGTGATTGGGAAGCGGGTAGCAGCGCATACGGAGCGGGAGACCGAGAAACCGGCAGCACAGCGCGCGGAGCTGGAGAGACGGGTGGTAAACCATGAGAAAACGTTGCTGCTGCGACGCTCCACGCACTTGCCCGTGAGCTCATCTCGCCGGCCCTGGGTTGCGGTAGACCCTGAATCTGCATCCGTACATCCTCCGATGCCCTCTGCCAGGCCCCCTCATACCCGGGAATCACCTCCGGCAAGGCCTCCGTCGGCCAGCCGATCGCACTCAACTGCTCCCTCCGCTCCTCCGCCTCCTTCCGCCTCCTTTCTTCCTCCTCGGCCATTCGTCTCTTCTCGGCCTTGGTCAACTTATTCGGCGCGTTCCCGAGGATCTTCTGCCGCCGCTTCCACCAGCTGTGGACGGTCCGCTCGGGGACCTTGAACCAGTCGGACGTCTCCTTCAGCGTCGGCCACCGGTACCCGGGCTCCTCGGGCGGTTGCTGGTCCTCGCGGCCGCCGTTCCAGCCCTTGCGCGCGCGTATGTCGTTCTCGTCCGTCACGCGGATTTTGTGGTTCTGCAGGAACATGACGACCTCCCTGCGCTTCTGGTCCGTGTACGACCTCTCCATGCGCTTCAGCGGCCCACGGGCCTGGTAGCGCGCGCGCTCCTCTACGGGTTTGGGCGGTGGGCCGGGGCGTTTGTAAGGGGTGCCGTCTGCTTTGTACTTGGCGCCGGCGATGCGCCCGGTCCTTTTGCGCTCCGCGAAGACGACCGTCACGCCGGACGGAACGGCTCGGGCGGAGGCCGGCGACTGTGACGGCGACGCCGGGCTGCCGCCGGCCCGTCCGTCCTCGGCGGCAGCGGCAGCGGCAGCTCCGGCGATTGGTGTTTCGGCCGTTATCGATGACATGGATGACGGCTCGCGGCGAGCGACTCACAGCGACGGAAACAAAGCTTCTGCGAATCTTGGGTATTGTTTTTGTCCTTCCTCCCGAGACGCGTCTTTTGGCTTAGGTAACGGTGCAAAAGCAGCAGTGTCTGTCCGCGCTCCGTGCGAATTTTTGGACTTGGTAGAGTGTTGTGAACTGATGCCCCACCACCCAACCATCCCATCCCTGCTTACAAACTTGCAGTTCTTGTGTCTGTCTGTCTCATCGCCGTAATTCTTGAACAACAATTCAGGCCTGGAATGGTGGTCCATGACGCTCGTGTTTTGTTTCTTGTTTTCTTTATTTCCTCTTTCTCGCGATATGCATTGCAGAAACAGACAAGTCCACACATTGCAAAATGGGGCCGGGGGGCTGGAATGGGAAGTTCGCGACACAAGAGTCGCAGTGAGCCACTCGGTTTCGCTCCAACGAAACATGGCCATTCAACAACAACCTCACCCCTCAATTCCAGCGCGAAGTTCTACGTTCGACCAAAGAGAAACCGGCATCACATGGCTTATCTGAGCTCTGATTGGATTCAACGCCCAAAGGTGCGCCAACGAAGCGATTTTTCACGGCGAACCTGAACGTTGCGAGACTTGCAGCGTGTCTCAGAGGTAAAACGACACAACTTCTCGCGTGGTTCGCAGAAGGCTGTGGCTAGAAAAGGCAGCTCTTCGTCTGAGACGTCGGTCCCAACTTCAGACCGGCGGCTACTGACAACAGCGCCGTTAGTCGAGGCACACCCTATCCGGACTCCCCCAGATATTGATAGGGCGGTGACACGCTGCCCCTGGCCTTGTGACGAAGGTCACAAAACTTAATAATATACTCTGCTTCAGTTCTGCATCGCCGGCGATGTTAATGCATGCCATTTCTCTGCCGACGCCAGTATTTTATCAGACAGACCGTGGTAGGCATGGAGGCTTAGATGAATTTGCGCCAGGTCAAGTTGCGAGTAGCATGCGGGTTCAAGGGATTGTCCCGTGTCTTATTGCCATGCCAAGAAAGCCATCCTGACTTCGAATGGTACTCTAACCTTGGAGAGTGCACTAATCAAGGCGACAAACTCAATTGCCGTAGCCAGAACTGAGTGATGGGAGTCGGTCCCCGCAGGTCACTTGCTTATGTCTGCACCAGTTGGATGGCCTCTCTGAACCACGGCAGCTGTCGATCACCTGGCTCACCGCAACTGCAGATCGAGAACGCGGGGAGAGCTGCTAGACTAACATGAAGATCGCAACGAAGTGGAACCAAGACATCTGGGTCTAGTTCGGTTCTGGTTGAGAATACCGTCTGAATGGCGTCTTCAATGCCAGACAACATCGGCATCGAAGCATAGAGGAGGACCTCGGAAACAGCCTTGAGAGCAGGGTCCTGCAAACAAAAACGTCCACCTGACTCGGCGATCCGTGGCCACGGCACTACCTTGAACTTACCCGAGCCCGGATTGAGGCACAGGGTTAGAAGCCAAGGATGGCTCTGGGGCAGAGAGGATTTCCCAACCACCAGCACGATGCCTGTCCGGAGGCAGACATGCAGTAACATGAGTCGTTAAGGTTGTCTGGGGTTGCCGCAAAGAGGCGGCTAAATTCTAGACAGAAACTTTCAGAGTCTGAGCTCCTGGCATGTTTGGGATGACAGGCGTGGGAAGTCTCGATGTGTGAGAGACAGAGACTGGGAGAGGGACTGAGAGTGCCGCCGCCGGCCCACTTCCGAGCATTTGATGGGGAGTTGTGACCCAAGACCCGGCGGTGGCTTTTTGGGAAGGAAGAAAGACAGCCACTTTGAGCTTGGGACGAACAGTTTACACCAGGCGTCGATCTTGAGCAGGAATGAAGTCGATCATGCACGGGACCTAACCCCGATCAGTCATCAATGCAATCTGTGCGGTTGACGACACAAGGGACGACTGAGAAGATTGGTGGCCTAGAGAGATGGCGGCTCCATTGGCTAACCCGAATGTTTCGCGAGGCGCAGGCCCGCGGGGCATGAGTAGCACGTTCATGGTGCCTTGTGTGCCGTGGGCAGCGTGGATGGAAGATCATTTCGAAGGACGGATCTCGATTCGGCGCCGTTTACCCCAGCCCGTGGATGAGGTAGACTAGCCTTTCATAGGCACGCTCCTGGTTCAATGACAAGGGGGCTTTCGGGGAAGCCAGCGGTCTGGGAGAGTAGAGTATCATGGCAGGGATACTCGAGATGGAGATGATGGAAAGTCTGGAAGAAGGTGATGGGACGCCGGGAGCACGGCAGGTGGGCGACGTTGACATGAGCGAGTGGGCGGAGGCCGAAGGGTAAATAGTGAGACAAGGTGCAGGACGGAAGATAAAAAGAGATCAAGCAGGACGTTTGGAGGGGAAGGATGGTGGTTCAATGTCCACACTGCCCACCCCACAACGAGTGAGAAGGATGCAGATTGAAGCGATTCGATGCTCGGGGATGGTGCACTCGTCCAATTCTGTCACCCGCGGGATCCTTTCGTCACCCTGCCGCCGATTGGGTAAAGATGCTAGGGATGACGGGATTGGCAAGCATCATGCGGGCAGAACGCTTGGCGCGGGCGTTTTGGAGATTTCGGGGTCGAGCCTGCCCAGCCTGCTTGATCGATAGCACTGTTCCCAGTTCGAACCTGACAGCGATGGAGCGAGCGGTGGACGACGTCGGCGGGAGGTGGATGTGAGAAGAGACGGAGGCGGAGGCGGTGGAGGTGCATGCCGGATGGACGTCGTGAGAGGGTGGTGCCAATATTTGGCGTGCTCTGCCGTTGGACGCGACTGAACGTGGCCAAAAATGGAACAGTTGAGAAGCCGAGACTGCCCTCGACACTTCCAAGCTCCCTTGTCTGGATTTCATCTCCCTTTGCGTCGAGTTGATAGGTATTTTGTGGTCTAGCGTACGCAGCGGCAGGCGGAGCACACTCGCCTTTCGTATCGCCGCTGTCCTCGGTCTCCAGACCTCCCGCTTACTCGTTCCACGGCACCTCAGACGCCGGGAAATAAGGTACTCGCAGACGGCTGGCTGCGTTTCCTCTTTCTTTCCCTCGCCTTCTTTGCAGCACTTGGGACGACAGTGCCCATCCATCTGACCAAGCTGATGACGATATGCGTATGTGTGTGTGTGTGTGTGTGTGTGTGTGTGTGTGTGTGTGTGTGTGTGTGTGTGTGTGTGTGTAGAAACAGATGACACACCTCTCAACTCACCTCCGACGAGTCTTGTGTGTACCGGTGAGCAGATGCAGGACTGAGATGCAGATGCAGACCGGGGCATGTTGCATGATAGGTTCCGCGAAAGGGTTGCTGAACTGCTGTTGCTGTGCCAGGTCTTATTCTTGGATGCCATCCGCATCAAAACTCGCGGCCACAATTCTCTCCCTAGGCGAACATTGATCAGACGGCTTGGAAGGTGTTGGCAAACACAGCGGCTACGGGCGAAATGGTAAAGCCTACCCAGCACCCTAGTAAGCTGTCGCCTTTGATAGTGGGTGGTCGTCAATCGATTGCGGCTATGCAAACCCATTTGACGTATGTCGCACCTCGAGACAGAGGGAAATGGCGGCAATGGCATGCGGGTCCTTCAACGGTTCCAATGTTTACGAGCAGCGAGAGGCTAGCGGAAACGGTTGCACTTGTTGATCCATGATTACCGTGCAAGTGTGAGGCGGTTTTCATGTCCAGGCCTGCTGAAGCGTTGAAACTGCCGGCACCGAACTCCATCCGTCCCGGGCAGAGCAGTCAGCTTGGAGGCGCGTCCAATCTTTCTGGCACTCGCCTTCTACCTGAGACACCCCGGACTGGGGACGCTCGATGTAGATCAACGCAATCCCAAGGAGCCAAATGCCAGTCGTTTGCATTCTCGAAGGGATCCATCCCAGGATGGACCATCGACGATCTTTGTAGCCTTCACCCCGATTCGCAGCCCCAGAAGCATGAGAGGGGTGACATGTTAGATGCCGGCAGCGGTGCCTCAACGGCTCGAATGCTCAGCGCGGAGGTGGTTCAGAAAAGACGAAGGAAAAAAAAAAAAAAAAGGGAATGGGATGCACTCTAGAGGTCGGCGGGGTCAAGCACAACTGGCACAGGTGCCGGAGTGCCGCGAATGCAACGGTGAACAGTAGGTAGCAAGTACGAAGAAGCTGCTCTGTGGCACGATAGGACAAAAGCAAAGCCACAGAAACGTCGTGATGGTGTGAGCAACAAGCAGCGTGTCCAAGTTGCAGGAAAGCGGCTTGGGATGGGGAGACCAGGTGATGGTGTCTTACCACTATGGCATGGGCTGGCGCGGGAAGCCCCAGTGACGGTACCACCTCTAGCTCCTAGCACACATCTTAGTGCTTGGGGCCACCTGCGGTGCCTCATCATGCCAGAGTATTGGCCCTGTTGCGAGTACGTAACGCTTGATTGTCCGGTTTGCAGGTACTGTGGACAGTGATGCGTGTGCTGAGAACCCGACCTGGCCGTCTGTATCCGCCTCGGCTTCGGCGTCGGTGGGCCGGAGGGGAAGGGAGCGGCGGGGGCTGAACTGAAATGCACGAGACCGAAGATGGGATAGGCGAGTTTGTGGGATGGCATTTGGACCCCTGGAGCGGAAGGGCCAGCATTCATGAAGACCATAGTCGTGTCGTGCGTGCGGGCAGGCCTGTATCTAAGACGCAAACTAACCAAGCCAGCCCGCAGCCCGAGCCCAGGGAGACAGACGGGAGCAAACTTTCCCATGTGGCCATTCCGGTGCCAAACTTTGGGCTGTCGTTTCTGGTCTCTCTCCCTTGGGTCTGGAAACACGTTCCGGGCAATTCATATCTGCGTCAGAAGCCAAAGTCAAAACAGACAATGTTCAAAAGAGCCTTTCCCTTGATGGTCCGGTAGGGTAATTACATGCAACGCGAGGGAGCTCGTACCAGGGGACGAGATAAGAAAGGAAGGCCCCGAAGAGAACAAAACAACGTAGGCGAATAAAGGCATGGGCTGAAGAAGGGGTTTGT